CTCGTCCCTTGCATTAACACCACCTCCCCCGCATCAAGACCACACCCTCCTCGCCCGCCGCCCTCCATAATTTCCACCAAATCCAGAAACCAGCCGCGCAATTTAACGGTAAAGTCAAAGCCACGACAGACTGCCCAGCTCCCGGGGCTCCGCTGGCCGAGCCCCGGCCGCTCCCGGGGGCGGCGGCAGGTCGCGGTGGGCATCCTCCCAGGCGTCTTGGGTCGGGAGCATCTTAGATTCCCTAATAACATAGAAATGAGGGGTACTGGCTGAAAGGGGATAAGTTTTAGATTAAAACTACTATTAAAATTAATTTTCTCTTTTTTTTGTTTTTTTGGGGGTTTTTTTGTTGTTGTTCTGGAATGAGAAGCTCGTTTTGGAGATGAAAGCGAAAAGGCGTTGTGCAATTTTAGGGTTTTTTTTCGTGGGTTTTATTTCTGTTTTTCGAACTTAGTCCCAAGAGCGGATTTTCTTCTTTTTTTTTTCCCCCTAATAAAATGGTAGAGAAAAATAAAGAGGAAACTGGAAAGGAACAGTAACACGGCAAAAATAATTTTCGCAACAGTTTCAGTATTTCTGCTGAAACGCGGGTGAGACGGGCATCGGAATGAGTTTTCCCGCGCCCTGCTTGGTGCTGGAGGCAGCAGCAGGCAGCCGAGCAGCCCCCCCCGCTCCCCTCGCAGCCACTGCCGCTCCACTCACTTCCATCTGCTGAGCTGCGGAGCTGCCGCCGTTCCCCCGGGCGGGCGGGAGCTGGGAGCGGGCTTCCCAGGCAGCGGCAGCCCGCAGCCGCGCTGCGCCGGCTCGTCCCGCGGAGCTGCTCCTCCTCGGTTTTTTCCACCTGCTTAATCACATTTAAATATATTAAATACTTTCCTATTGTTGTTCTGGCATAGAAGTAATTGCTGCAGTTGCCATGGGGATGTTATGACAACACAGGGGGGATGCCCGCATGATGAGAGGAGGCAGAGGTGTCCCCTCGCCTGGAGGACGTGGGAAGTTTCTGTGCCTGACGCCAGTGCCCTGGGAACGCCTGGCCCGGCGCGGCGCTCCCGCCCGTGAAACCATCGCGGCAGAGGGAGATACCTGGGCTCGCACCCGCCGCTGGGGACAACGGCGAAGGGATGTCAGGGGGCGAGGGGAGGGCGGTGGGACGGGTAAAAGCCGCTTTCACCCCAGCGATGCCACTGCGGGCCCGATGCACCGGCGGCCGCGGTGTTTGGCCAGCGGCCGCGGGGCGGGGGGCCCCGGCCCCAA